TTGCTGGCCCTTACCTTTCTCTTTTATTGATCATTAGGTGGTGTTGGGAAGACAGAGGAGGTTTAATTACGGAGCCAGACTGGTCTGTCAATTTTACTCAGTGCTGCGTGGAGAGCAGCAGACCAAGCGATGGCCCTAATAGGGCTTCACACTGTAAACAACACGCACACCTGGACAGCAGCGAGCCTCAGGGAGAAACGAGAGAGAGAGAGAGAGAGAGAGAGAGAGAGAGAGAGAGAGAGAGAGAGAGAGAGAAGCTGTAGTTGACGAGTTAGCTCTGATAAAGAGAAGAAGTTTAGTTTATTCTCTCATCCACAACTCGGGACTGTGATCTTAGGTTTCTGCTGCTTTAATCTGGTAAAACAAATGACCAGATGAGTTGTTTAATTGAGCCAGGAGGCGACAGCTCTAACCACAGTTCCACCATGCCACCAAGTGTAATCATTTCATCTAGTTCTTTTCTAGTAACTGCCCAAGATGGTGGGCAGTCATGCTTTTGCCTGTATGTTTGTCGWTTTGTCAGTCTGTCTGTCTGCCCTTAAAGGCACAGTGTGCAGGATTTGTTGTTTTCAGTGACATCTAGTGGTTGAGTGGTTGAATCATCCTCCCTGGTCCTCCCCCCACCCCCACCTCCCGCTTCCAAATGCAAAAGGAGTTGCTACGGTGTCTCTCAGGTGTCAAAAACCTTTGATAATTCCAACCGCGATGTCTACCAGCAGCTTCAGGGCTAGTGATGTTTCAAGTGGTAAGATTATGAGCTTTAATAAGTAAAATTATCCCAGCTACAACGACAGACAACAAATATTACATTTATAGTATTACAACTAAAACTGTTTTTGACGACGCCACCGCAGTTTGTCCTTCATAAGCCTTCGTAGGCAAGATGGCGGTGCAAGATGGCGGCTGCCTGTAGTGGCGACCTGCGACCAAGGCCAAAGCATTGCAGTTCCACTTTATATGTACTCTAACTGAATGGTTTAAATGTTAAAAAGGAGGATTTAAAGCATGATTTGTCTTCCTTAAGACACATGCCCAAGCTAATCAACTTTAGCAAATGCAAATTTGTTATTATACAGTCAGTTTTACAAATATTGAGCTAATAGTTGGTGTGGTAGTAGCTGACCATCATTGCTAACATGTACTCTGAGCTCTAACAG